TGCAAACAGTTTCTATTCTATAGCTGCTGTTAATTTTGTTCCCATTATGACCTTAACATGTCAACAGTTTGTTTCAATGCAACGAGAAAACTGCCAGAGGATGAAAGCTTTTCATCGGTACTGTATTATCCAACCTCTTTACAGACCAAACAATCAAACTCTGAACAAAAATGAGGGACCAGTGAACGGAGGCGTTAGCTTTTGTGTCCTTAAATGTGTTATTTAGAACATTTTGTGGCTTCTTCAAATTATTGTCCAGATGCTGATGACACATAAAACGGACCACATTACTACGTGCTAATACAGAATGCCAGCACCATCATGCCCCTGCTCCTCTGTTTACACAAGCAGGGGTCCTGTACATATAAACTGGAGCCTGTTTTTGGAACATCGTGTACCAAACGCCAATAGGCTTGCCAAAGCTTGTGTGCGCAGCCACTAATCACGTCCTGCTCGTCTTTGCTGTTGTCTCCGTTCTGGTGAAGTTCTTGTTGTTTCTCTCCCTGCCTCCCTTATTATAGCACATGCAGAGTTTATTTTATTAGGTTTTAGTGTTCAGAGTGCAGTATGGGGGATGTAACTTGACCAGGACGTCGACTCTGATAGGAGGTTTCATCTGATTGGACATGAGTTAATCATTACTGTGAGTCAGGATGGCAATAAAGTTTAATTATGCAGAGGATTTATATGCTGGATGACAACATGTATCTCGAAGTGGTTTCATTTATCTTGGTACATTAACTCAAGCACTATACTTAGGAATACATTTAAGATACTTGTACTTTACTTGAGTGTTTCCAGTTTAGGCGACTTTATACGTCTGCTCCACTGTATTACTGAGGTAAATATTGGAACTCTTACTGCAGTACATTTGTCTGACAGCTATTTTCATTCATTCATTCATTCATTCATTCTTTCTTTCTTTCTTTCTTTCTTTCTTTCTTTCTTTCTAAATTCCTGCCCAATGAAAACTGTATGTTTCCATGTGACAAACTGAAGGATTAAGTGTTCCTTTATGGGTTGAGAAAATTTTCTGACTTATAAATATAAATAAACTATTAAATAAACCCTCTTGGATTAGCTGGATAATGCAGTGCCACAAAGCTGAAAACAAGACTGTTTCATGTGAAGTTGACTCTTTGTAGAAGTGAAGTTCTCACACAATATGAGCTGTAAATTAAACTACCCAACACTTTATAAAGTAGTTAAAATTGATTTAATCTTAAACATCTACAACTGTAAAGTGCAACATACATCCAAAAAACATCACATATAATCGTAAGACACTGACAAGGATCATTTTTCTGTAGAATAAGTACTTTAATTTTCAATTTTTCTGATAATATTTATATACTTTTAGTTTTTGAAAGCCTTTATTGTGGTATTGCTACTTGTACAAAAAAGGATCCAAATACTGCACTATGTCAAAGAGTTTTCTATTCACTAAATCTGCTCTGATGACCTCATGTACGCTTTAATGACAATGTAATTTTACCACAGAGTTATTGTGTTTTTACCAAAAGTCTGTGCCATCCAATACATCTTTTCTCTGTTAGTCAACCACGGTCCTTTGTGCTACGAAGCCTCATAAGATAATAAATTACACAAAGGCGGCTTCCTCATGCTTTTGATACATGACATAAGAGCCGGATCTCGAAGGTATGAACGGGCAAACACCATAACCCGCCTTTCCCGTTGAAATCCCCTCCAGCTGCAGAACGACACCATAACCTGCTTTGTTTCTAACTCGTGACTCATAACATGAAACCTGCAGAAAAGAAAAGAAAAAGCAGATGATGTGGCGCAACCACATGGCCGTCTGGCTTCTCTATCGGATCACCTACACAACCATCTCCCAGTGGAGCAAATATGGGCCCGTTGCAGTTGTGCTTGACATCTAAATGATGTGGATATCTATGCCATTTGTTCACCCACGCACACTTCTGAATTACGCACAAAGCGTAGGGATGATTGTTAGTTTATTGTTATGTAAGTAAAATTCGTGACTTGTTTTTCAGGACTTGTAGTAAAGGGAGACATTCAGGTTCCTCCCGCACGAAAGAATCAGTAAAGAATAAGTGGTCACTGATGAAAATGTGGTCTCCTCTGTTGCTTTAATTAGAGCTGAGGGGCCAACACCCTTTCAGAATAAAAGTGTCTTTTTTCCATTTTTATGCAAATGTTTAAACTAAAAAAAATCTTTGTACTACTGTGAGATGCTGAAGTTGGCGAGGCTACTATATGCAGCTACTTTAATTATTCATGTGTCTGTATGCGGGATAATACGAAGGAAAGCCACTTTGTTCATGTCAAGGTTAGGGTGAATGTATGGATGCCACTATTTTATATCTTTTATAAATTGTAAGACTATAGCATCTGCTGAAAAACAATCAAATTAAAATGTCACTGCAACTTCGAATGTTTTCAAAATGTAAAATGTGTTCAAAGCCTGTGACTCATCTTGTGCTTGTAGGCATCAAAACACAGCCAGTCCCTGGAACATATCAGCTCTGATATAGTGGGAAAGAACAGCTCCTCTGCTGCAAGTAACCCCCTGTACAACAATCTTAATAAACTGTTCCCAACCTTGGTGTTTCAGAAGGCTGTGCCAAAAGCTGCCCGTGAATCACACAGTCTAAACTGGAGGGATTATTTTCTCAGCGGCGCGGAAATGATGCATAATTCATTTGCCTCTCTTTGTAGCAGCTGAACGACAGGAAGGTCATCAGTGTTTTCAGTGCAGACGCCAGCCTCATTTACTGGAAATGTTCTGAGCGCAAGACTTTTTTTTTTTTTTTTATGTGTTTGTCTGTGAGCAGCACACCCAGATGAAAAAATCCAAATCTGAAGCTCACGTGCAAGCTGGAGAAAATATGTTTTGTGAATACAGAAGTCATGTCAGCTCCATCCAGAGATGAGAAAGTCGACCACCTTTTCTGTTCATCTCATGTCAACACATGAGTTCCCTGCAAAAGCCTAAAGTGAAAAGACCAGAATTGATCTTATCATTCTGTTGTCATGCCTATTTTGGCTTTCCTGCAAATACTTTTGCATTGAGCACATTCTCCTGCCCTCATGCCTATCAATGAGTGTATGAAGAGCAGCAATAATAACAATAAAAGTAGTGTGAGTCAGGGAAAAGGGCATCTGTATCCATGGTGCCCCTCAGTCCTAATAATACTCACTGGACCGAAATAGAAAGCAAGTCTGGGAATGTTCTGCATCAAGAACCCACGAGCTTCCACCACGTGCAATTGTTTTCCTGCCCATCAAAAGCATGCATAAATAAACCATGAGAACACATCAGTCAGCAACTTTCTCAATAACCGCATGGTGCATACAAAACATCCCGTCGACAATGAGGCTCTCCCATCCTCCACGTCTCAAACTGCCAACCCTATTATTCTCTTATTTGTTTTTCTGTGAATACTTCTATTCCTCTGTCCTTTCCCGTTCCTTTTGAAGTATGTCCATCATAATTATTTGTTGTTTTCCTTTCTTTTTGTCCACATTTGAATGCTAAGGAGATAATTGCCAAGGGAGTGTTGTGAAAGCACAAACAAAGCTGGTGGTGAATGAGAGCGTCCCGAGGGCGCGGGGCCTCCTGTGGAGCTCTGCAGAGAGGACACTTACATTATCAAGCCCTCTCCTCTTCCTGATGGTCAGCTAATTGGCGGTTAGAGTTCAGAATACCTGCAAATTGAATGATTAACAAATGGTGACCAGTGCCCAACACAGGTTGAGAATAAAGACTTGTTTCTAAGCTCTACAGGGGCACTCTGCTGGAAGGTTTTCTTTTTTCCTTTTGTACAAAAGCTTTTGACTTTAGATTGGAGACGTCTGAAGTCTGTAAAAAAATCACTGATATACTTTCATCCAGGTTGTTTTAGTTTGGGTTCATGCCTGCAAAACTGGAAATTTAAAGCTACAGTGCAGGACTTTGACATATAAATGAACATCCATCACATTGAAGCCAAACATGTTCACAAAGCTGATTAAACTCATCTGTGCCACATAAATCTCTCTGTATTTCGGAGTATACTTAAGTTTTAAATCTCATTTCTGTGTTGATATTCCCACACAGTTCATTTACATTAACTCACAATCTTAACCAGAGATGGATAAGGGAACAACTGTAGTGACAGAGAATGCTACAGAAATTACAAGTATGGTGGACCTGATGGCAGAAAAACCAAGGAATTGACCAAGAAAAGCTTCTGGTGCTCCAGATAACAAGGAACTCTGCGTTCAGAGGAAGGATCACAGTCTAAAAATGAAAGTGGCTGACGGCAAAGCATACGTCAAAAGCACATGTCGACGGTGCAGGTTGAAACGATTTTGTAAAAAAATAATTTGGCAGGGAGGGTTCACTGAAAGATGTGTCAGTTCTTTATGGAAAGTGTAGGATGCAGGTTATTTTGGAGATTGAGTCTTCCCTATATTGGCAGTCAGTTTTTTAATGTTTATTTTATGACTGGACTGTCAGGTAAGTCCTACAGAGAGGGAATTTAATTGAAGTGATTAATTCTTTTCCTTTGGACATGTGTTAAGTGACTATTAAGGTCTTTATTAGGTGCATTATTACTGCAATTAGCAATGGGTTAGGCTAAACTGACAGAATGTATATAACTTTAAATAAGGTATTTATTGAATAGATATGCCACTAGTTTCAGCTTCTGCTGTTGTTTTGTGTTTATCATTATGAACTGAATTTCTTTGGATTCAAAATCAATATTTATTTTCTTCCAATGGTTTTGCATTAAACCGACCACGTCCCTTTAAATGCCTACCACAAATGAACCACAACTCCCAAAAGCCATTGCTTTAACGAAGAGCCGCTGATTGGTTGCAGCTCAGTTAAACTTCACGGTGCAGCTCTGTGTGTGGCTCCGCGGTCCCGTCAATCAAAAAACTGCAAATCTGAACCAATCACCTTCGGAGTTTCCCTGATGTGGGCGGGGCTACGACGCTTCCTCAGACAGCAGGCTTGTTTCCTGACCGTTGCTAACAACCTGCTGCCCGTAACTTCGTCCGTCCACCGCTGCCTCATGCACCGACGGTTCCCAGCGGCGGCGTTCTCGGTGTGCGTGTGAGGATGAAGCCGTGTCGACTGTGAACGCAGCCCCCGACCCTCGGCTCCGTGCTGGCTGCATGGTGCTCCGCGTCTCTCCGCCCGCTTTCTGACGCTTGGGGTTGCAGTCTGGCCTCCAGCCGCGACTGCGAATCAACTTCATTTCTCAGCGTCACCCTGCTCTGTTTATTTTATAAAGATGGCGGTGAGGGGGACACTGTAAACTAAATGACTGTCAGAAACATCGCCTCCATTTGTAATATGGTGAGTAAAGCCGCTGCTAATGTCCGTGTTGCTGTTGACTGAGTCGCTCTGTTGAACCTGGTGTGATGATGGTTCAGTCGCCTCCCACCTGCAGCCTCTTTATCACCACTTTCCATCCACCTCGGCGGCTCTCTGGGCTCCTGCAGGCCCGAACCTTAACATCAGTGCGCCGGTTGTTGTGTTGCAGCCCGGCCTGACAAACACAATGTGCAATTTGTACAGCTGTCAGCGGTGATTGACAGGTGAACGCAGCCCGTGACAGCTTGTTGTGATTGCATAATGTGGTGCTGCTGCAGAGGGCTGCTTGCATGCTGGCAGCAGAGAGCAGGGATCTGCACTAATCTGTGTTTACGGTGCGTTCAGGGGCAGTGAAGAGTGGGTAAGAACAGACTTAAACGGCTCTGCCTAATGCCAGCGGCCTCCGCTTTATTTAGACTGGATACTAATGTCAAAGGCCCGCAGTGTCAGTCTCCTGTGAGGACAACACTGATGCACTGCTCTGTGTTTCTGCAGGATGCTGCACACTGTGCACTGAGAGTGTTGCAGACATATTGATCCACATCACCCAGCTGGAATTTTCTTGTTTCTATAAACCGTTCTTAGAAAGTTCAGCGAAGTTCTGGTAATGTTTTCAGCAGGAATTGTTGTCTAACTCCCAGAATCTTCTTCTTAAAGTTCTTTGAAAGCATTCTTCCTAAAACTTTTCCCAAATGTTGCATTGGGAACGTTCTTTCTTTGTTATCATGCAACATTGTGGGAATGTGTTTATGGAAGAATGCTTTCTAACTACCGTAATGTGTTCCCTGGACAGCATCCTCAGAATATTGCAGGCAAAATGTTCTACCTTTGTTAATATCTCACATTACAGGAACATCATCTGAGGCCTCCACACACCTCTTGAAAACATTTTTGGAATGTTGGTTTGGCTTCTTTCATACTCTGACAGCATCCTCCAAACATCCTCTAAATGTTCCAGTTAAAAAAATGTCTTCACTGGCTTTGAATTTATATAGGAACATTATTTGAATTGAAAAATATCTTTTCAACTTTCTCTAAGCATTAGATTAAAGTGTTTTCTTTAAAACATTATTAGAACTTATAAGTAATGTTGGCCAGTGTTGTGGGAACATTTCCTACTTGCTTGGCAGTTTGAGGAAACATTGGTTATCATGAGGTGGTTAGTACCGTTGCATCGCAGCAAGAACGTCGCCGGTTCACGTCCCAGTGAGGACACCCGGGATCTTTCTGCGTGGAGTTTGCATGTTCTCCCTGTGCAGCGTGGGTTCTCTCTGGGTTCTCCAGCTTCATCCCACACAGTCCAAAAATACATGTTGAGGTTAATTGGTGATTCTAAATTGTCCGTAGGTGTGAATGTGAGTGTGCTTGGTTGTCTGTCTCTAAGTGTAGCCCTGTGATAGACTGACGACCTGTCCAGGGTCTCCCCTACCTTCGCCCTAGTCAGCAACTTTAGTGAGGATGAAACGGTGTATAGATAATGGATGGATGGATGGATGGATGGTTATCATGAGCAGTTTCAGAACCAAACAGTTTTTGCAGAGGTGACCATGCTGAGAGTATCAGTCAAAAACGTCAACTTGGTGAAAATGAAATTTAAAAATTTACAAATTTACTGGCTGTCAAACTGTCCTCCGTCAACATGTAAGCTCTGCCTACTTGAAACTGCCTTTGCCCATGAATATTTGATGTTTTAGATTTGTTTGTGTCTTTGTGGTTGTTGGATAATGATTCCAAGAAGCGTTATTGAATATGTTGCAAGTTCCCTGCTACAGCCTAGAAAGACAATCACACCCACTGGCCACTTGTAGAGTTTGTTAATGATCAACAGTCATACAAAGTCATCAAATGTGAATATACTTGCAGGTAAAATGAAGCCGCCAGGTTGAAGGACTACCTGTGAAGCTTTATTCTCAGCAGCACTGTACCTGTCACAAAATGCTTTCCACACAACAGTAGCTGTTCCTTTGGGCTTCGTTGATGTTTCTGTTCAGCCTACTTTCTTTATGGAGATCTTTTGCGTGATATAAAAGACAGTCTTTTCCTCCTGCATATTTTTGAACCGTTGCAGTATGCTCCTTCACAACTTTTAAGTATAATTATAACCAGTTTAGGAGTATAAATTGTTCCAGAATTATTGGCCTGCGTCAGTGAATCCAACTGGTTTGTTTTCACTGCGGTGAGGGACTGAGTAATCCGGATGTATAGAAATACCCGGATGACCCCAGTCTTCCATTGGGGTGACGCAGTGTCTCACTGTGGTCACAAATAATAACAGTTGTCTTTTTTTTTTTTGGGGTCTCTCAGTCTTCTCAGTTGCTTATGCAGGCAAGACTGATATGTGAAAGTCCCTGAGAGCTCATATAGAGTATAGTAACCTTGTAACTTGATTGATTAAAATCGAGATAGTTAAGTTATGCTTTTACAAAAAAAAAAAAAATTGAATGTCCTTGTTCTGCTCAGGACACCCACCTCGTCGAGACATCACACTGTGTCCATCCAGCCTTTTGTTTCTTTTATTTGGCTGCAGGTTCTGGGTCAGTCTGGCATTGTTCAGCAGTTTGTTTACAGAGTTCTTCAAAGAAAGTTTCATCTTTGCATTCTTTAAGAGTCTGAACAGGAGCTTCAAGTAAATCTACAGCAAAACCAAAATCATGTACACTTCAATTAATATAAACTATACACTTTACACACAAAATGTTTGAGTTGCAACAAAATCATTGGTAGGTCAGATCTTATTGGTTGTATGTGGCTGAATGGACGGTGATGATGCTGGAAACAACCAGCCATCAAGAAAGAATTGTGCAGAAAAAACTTCTGTCAGAAAAATATCAGTTTGTGGATGTACCTCCAGTCCTGTGAGTGCAGGCGTAGCCCTCTAACAGAGTTCACTATTGGTTGTGTTTGGTGGCCAGAGTTTAATCTGTGGTGGCCACCCGCTGGCTCTGCCTCTGATTATTAGGTTGTACAGTGTCTGTCCAGTAACTAAAGGGACACAAAGCAAAAAATGATACTATTCCCCATTTTATTGCTGCTGACACAGAATGATGGCTTCTTATTAATAGAAGTCGTATTTCTGAAGTATGTAGATCAACACCACTTATAAATGATCAGCTGTATCCCTGCAGAAAGAACCTGGATGATGAAAATGTGTGCTCATGCACTGCTTCTACTTCACTCTGCAAGGATTTAACCTTTTATCAGCTGCAATGTGACATGTGAAGGTGGAGTGACGTGAACACGTTAAGAGCTGATCCTCATAAAAGAGCTCCTCTACTTCTGGCTACAGGTGAAAATGTGTGAACACACTGGTACAATAATTTACTCGTGTTGTTTCATGGTTTCTTTTCATATCTTCTGTTGCTTTGCATTGGCGTTGTCAAATTGTTTTCTGGGGTTTTTTTTATTTACTTAAAAATATTTTAGGTTTTTGCTGTGGTTTTGTTTCAATATTGATATATGTAGGCAGGTATCATGTCAGGGTCATAATTTGGATATTGTGCCAGCACCAGTGTGCAGCACTGCTGCATAATGTGGTTGAAAGCACAGCAAGAATATCAACATTCTTTTATGTACAGCTACAGTTAACAATTACTCTGCCAATTACTTGTCAGGTAATCAGGTAATCATAATGTTTAGAAATAATGACAGATGGTTTATGCAATCTACTACGGTATAAGATGATTGATTCTTTTGTTAAAAAAAATGACAAAATAATTATTGATCTCCTGCCAGTTAATATTGCTGCATCACCCAAAACGCTCCCTAGGAGCAAAACAAACCTTCAGTCACTCATTTTATTAGTTATTCGAGCTGCATCATTAACTACCTGAATTATGGATTAATTGTCAACTGTTAGAATAATCAACAACTATTTAATCATCAGTTAGAGTAATTTTTTTTATTTAAAGAAAAGTCATTTTTTCTTTACTCCAGCACCTTAAATTGGAGTATTTTCTTGTTTTTCTCCTCTTCTGTGACAGTAAATGGAAAATCTTGAAGTTGTGGAAAAAACAAGACATTTGAGGGGGTCATCTTGGGCTTTTGGAAACACTGATGGACACATTTTTTGCACTGTATTTTGGTAATTTATAGTCTAAACAACTAGTCAGTTAATCAAGTAAATAATCATTAGTTGCAGCTCTGTAAGTCATTGTTTCAGTTTTGCTTACAGACACAAAGGCTAATGTGTGCATGTCTGCAGGAGGAGAATAAAATATAACCTTTAAAGTGTTTAATAACTATTATTTCTCCTTTTTGCACATTCAAGGAACCAACACACTGATTGTTGCATTCATGATCTGTCATATATGAATATAAGGAATTTCAGTTTGTTAAAAGCAAATAAATAAACGTGATCCAAAAGGTAAAATTAAAAGTTTCCAGCTGCAGACAATAATCACAATAACACAAAGAAAGTGATGACAATGATGTCAGAGTTTGTAACAGTTTCTGCTTCCTCACTAACTTCAGTTTACCCTGATCAGCACTGTTTTGAAGATTTATTCCTCTTTAACTAAACGGTGCCTCCCGCCTGCTGCCTATAATGAGGAGCTCAAATGTCAAAATGTGCTATCAGGTGTCAGTAGTAGGTTGCATGGATATTCCATCGTTCTCTTGCAACTGTTCAGTGTAGATTTTGATGGATGGGTCCACTTATGGTGCATTTTCACTGAATTTGGGATGGTAATGTGTACGTACACTGCACGATGCTGCATATGTGCCGCTGCATCTCTGGCTGGAAGCGGTAAATCGGACAAAGGGTTATTCACTGTCTGACAGAAATGACAGTCATTAAAAGTCAAAGCCTTCCCCAAACTAAATTGTCTCCGGTGCTCGCACAACAAAGCTGCAGTTCATTTCGGAGTGAAAAGACTCTGACAAGAGATAAGTGCTCCGTCTCAGCAATCAAGCACAAACCACTCCTGACTTTTGATATGCGTCTACCTATTTAGACCATCTCCGTTTTCTAATTTGACAGGACAATTTTTTGTTCTGACAGCCTCGGGAATCAAGATGAGCTAAATTTTGTGCATTTTGAGAAAATGAGACTTTAAAATTTGACAGGAAGGATCATTTGTATCAATTATACTGCATCAGAGAGAGGCCTGTAGTTTTGGTTCTTCCTGTAGCTGCAGCATTAAAGCTCCAGCAGCCTGTTGGTGCTCTTTGACTGTTCATCATTTCCATATTCATTTGGCTACATATGCATAGACTAGACAAACAAATTAAGGCTTTTTTTTTCTAACTCTACATGAGCACAAATGAGCAAACTGTTACATGATGATGATGAATGCTTGTTTTGTCCTTTCAGGGCACCAATGCCTCTGCTCTGGAGAAAGACATCGGCCCGGAGCAATTCCCAATCAATGAGCACTACTTTGGATTGGTCAATGTGAGTATCACCAAATCCTCTCATACATTAACAGAGGTCACTGCCAAACAACACCGGTGTCATTTTTCAAAACAAAGTGCCGTCGAGCCGCAGTGAGTCATGTCCTCTGCTGGACAGCTGGTGCTGAAGATGTTGTTTGTGGGTGTGTTGGCCCGTCGAGGGATGTTCTGTTTCTTTAATATGGCATCAACATAAACATACGCGTTTCTCAGTAGCTGTGCTTTGCGAAATAGAGGATACTGGTATTTTTCACCAGAAGTTTGGCAACACTAATGAATCGTTGTTTAGGAAAATGAAGCAGAAACTACATTTTTGAAAACAAAATATATGAGCACAGTAATATTTAAAGTAGTTTTTGTAACAGATTTATATCTATTGTAACACTGCCTTTGACACCAAAACGACTGAGAATGTGTATTCATGAAGGTATTAAGTACCACAGCTTTATAGTTATAAGATTGCTACGAACATGCAAGGATTAGGAGGAAAAAAACAGTGTTGTTACTTCATAGTACTATCGAGTTTGCTTTCACATATCAGGATATAACACAACTGGTTTATTAAAACTTTATGTTTTATGGCACCACGTGAGGGAGAAAAGGACTGAGTTGACGAGTTTAGAATTTTGCAAACATAAAAGATGACTTATGGTGCAAAGTTCGATTTTTCATACCAGTGGACACAATCCTGTTCAGTATGCATGCTTGTTCATTTTTTACAAAAAGTATGACCAAGCCAGAGTGTAAAATTTGCAAAGAACATTTAGCGGAATTGCTCTAAACTTCACATCATTTCATAGTTAACTGTCGGCTATTTCAATGCTTAAAATCACTTCGTAAATCACTTATTCATGTCAAGATGTTTTTTAGCAAAGAAGAGCAATGACAAAAGTAATCAGGAAATGTCAAAGAATAGTCATCTTCCCATCTTGTCAGCTTGCAGATAGGTGTGCTGTATAGACACACATATTGGCAGAGTTTGACTCTAAACTCTTACATAATGCAGTATAAACTGAACATACCTCCTCTGGATTGTATTTAGCCAGCACCAATGAATCTGTGATCATTCCTCCCGCCAGTACCAAAAGCTGCTGCTGATAGAACTCCAGCAGCTGTGTCAACGGAAGTTTGGCAACATTAATAAATAAATGTCTTGAAAAAAGGCAGCATGAATAATGTTTTCATCAAAAAATATGAGCACTACAATAACATTTAAAGTAGTTTTCTAACAGAGTTTTTAATATACTTGATTTAAAGAAATAAAAAACTTGGTTGTAATGTCACAAAAGGGAGAGCAGCCAAGCAGGTCCAGATTAACAGTGAGAAATACCAAACCACTGTCGGCCTCATATTTCCATCCAGAACTCGTATCTCCTTGAATATAATCCTCCTGTCTAATTCGTGACCGTGTTTTTATTCCAGATGCAGCAGTGAAGTCTCATCTCTTCACCTGCACAAAATGCACCCAGGCTCAAAAGCGAGCTTTGTAGTTTGGAAAAGTGTCCACTCAGTGTCCTGACAGTGGAGTTTGTGCAACTTGCATGAACACAATAATTGACCATGATAAAATAATACAAATTAAATTTTGTAATTGCAAAGTTATTTGGCAAAAATGAGAATCTTTCTAAATCACAGCCACTTAGACTCACAACCACAAACTGTGGTACACTGCACCAAGGCAGAGATGATGGTTTTATGTGGCATAATATTAGGCTTCCTGTTAAAACAGTGCTCAAACACTTTTTTTAAAATCAGAACTTGTCTCATAGAACATATAAGATAAGATAAAATGTGTTCATCCAGAAGGAACTTCAAATGCCAGATGTTACTCAGAAGACAAAGTTTCATCATATGAGAATAAATGCAGTGCCTAAGCAATAAGATAAAAATATGATACATTACTTAAAATTCCGTTAAATAAGCTAAGTAAGACTAGAATTGAAAAAGTAAGAAATACGACTGGCAATAATTCCAAGGTAGTCAAGTAGTATTACACATAATCATGAAATATAGGAATGGGAAATCATGCACTCACTTTTCAAAGATGTGAACCTGCAAGTTGCTCTTTAACATCCATCCATCCACTATTTACACAACGCTTAATCCTCAGTAGGGTCGGACTGGTAGGGCTGGAGCCTATCCCAGCTGACTTAGGGTGAAGGCAGGGGACACCCTGGACAGGTCACCAGTCTATCACAGGGCTACACTTAGAGACAGAAAACCAAGCACACTCACATTCACACCTACGGACAATTTAGAATCACCGATTAACCTCAACATGTTTTTGGACTTGTGGGAGGAAGCGAGAGAACCCGGAGAGAACCCACACTGCACGGGGAGAACATGCAAATTCCACGCAGAAAGATCCCGGGTGTCCTCACCGGGACACGAACCGGCGACTTTCTTGCTGCGAGGCAATGGTGCTAACCACTGACCCACCTTGCAGCCCTGCTCTTTAACAGATACGCCAAAAATAAATTTACATTTGAGTTCTTGTTTTCAGTAGTTTCTCTTTGTCCTCTTTGTTTGTGCGTCACTGTTCCTTCCTCCCTCAGTTTGGAAACACATGCTACTGTAACTCAGTGCTCCAGGCTCTCTACTTCTGCCGGCCTTTCCGGGAGAACGTGCTGGCATATAAAGCCCAACAGAAGAAGAAGGAGAACCTGCTCACATGCCTGGCTGACCTCTTCCACTCCATCGCCACGCAGAAGAAGAAAGTGGGCGTCATCCCACCCAAGAAGTTCATTTCCCGGCTACGGAAGGAGAACGGTGAGAGCGCAGCATTTGACTGAAGCTTTACAAGTAGTTCTTGTAGAATATGATTTTAAGAGAGTTTGCTGAGATTGTGTGAACGTGGCAAAAGAAATGAAAATTGCTGCATTCCATTTATGTTTACCAGCTCCAGGGGTCTGGTATTGTGCACGCTGGTTTCCTGGGAGAGCCACAGCAGTCACATTCTTAACTTTCCTGAAATAAGTCAAATTTTGTCCCATGAAAAATGATTCAGCTGTCACCTGTGTACTGTAATCAAGCATTTTTGTTTTCACCAAAGCCATCATGTGCGTGCTTTCACATGGATTTGCATTGATTTGTGTTGTGTGATAGCAGCAGCGTTGACTGTAATGCGGTCTGAATATTAGAGGTGAAGGGCAGGTGCATGTTGGTGGTAAGGTCATTCAGAGTAGAGCTGACAGAAAGGCTGACTGTTCTCTGCTGTCCATATTGAGGAAGCTCTTTATGCGAATGAACAATGCGATCTCTGTTGGGACCCGGCTTTGGTCAGCTGCCTCATCTCTGGACTTGTTTTTTTTCCTCTGTGCCTCCCTCCCCCCCAACCCCACTCATTCCCCCTTCATGCGCTTCTCAGTTTTCACTTTTTACATACAGATCTGTCAAAACAGGAGTGTGTTTATATTATCAACAAAGGCTGCTGAATCTATGGCATGTGACAAACTAAAAGAAAGCCACCACGTGCCTCTCGAACACCTGGGCATTGATGTGTTTTTAAATTTGCCGTAAAAATTGCTTTCACTAATACATCTACTACAAATACTACAGCATTCACAGTGTTAAATAGTCTGTGAACCCCGTCACTAATGACACCAACATAAGATCTCTGGAATCAGGAGTTAGTATACCTGGAGTCTGATCAATGAAATCGGATTTGAGGTGTGCGTTAGAGCTGCTTATACATTTTGAGTTTGCTATTAACAAAATGCATCTGCTGATGTAAGTCATGCCTCGCAAAGTGAAGATATCAGACAGGTAAAGCTAAAGAACCACTGATTTTCATGAAGCTTAAAAGGGTTACAGAGTAATCTCAACAAATTTAGATATTCATCACTCCACAGTGCAACAAATGTCTGAAATAGATATGCTTTAGTGTAGCTACCAGCTAGTTAGTTCCCAGTTAGAATGCCTCCAAAAACATGCCGAACCCCAAATTAGCAGGTAAACGCAAAAAGGAACCAATGGAGCTGATTTACTTTTACTTTGTTCATGAACAATTGTATTCTGTCATGGACCACATAGAGAAAGCTATGGACTTTACTGAAGGGTATGATAACACTCTGCAACACTCCTGCATAGTAAATTATGAAGCAAGTTTCACATAGCCAGGCTTTCTTTGTGTTAGCTGACTTGACAAAACCTAAAAGCCCAGTCAGAGATAACGGGTATCACAATGTTGGTTATCAACTTTCTTTCTTTAACCAGGTTTTCTTCTTTTCACTCACATAAAAAGGGTATTTAGCGTGTTGTGACTTTTCCTCCATTATAAAGGAGGGCAGTAAAGCATGGAAAGCAATGCGACTGCAAATGACGCAGGAGTAGAAAACTGTTAATCGTCCAAGTGAACATGTTTATTTTACCACTCAGTGACTCTCAATGCAGCCAATTTTTTCTAATGTGACAGCTGCACATTAGAGCTGTTAAACTTTAACGTGATGCTCAAGAAGTGCGTTTAGGTCTGACACTGATCCATAACGAAAGATATGTGGAAATTAATTTAGTTTTTGGCCTAATCCAGAGAGATAAATGACACTGATGGAATATTCTCTGTGATAAACACCAATAGACTAATCTGCTTTCTAATCTGTGTGCTATTAGCTGCAGCACAAGCAGTATACTAAAAAAAATGATACATTTCTGCATTTTCTGCACCCCCAACTGAATACATACTATTAAAACTGCACGGCTTTATTCATTGAAATTGCTAACATACAGCTTAACAGGTTGGCAGATAAAAAAATATTATTTTGAGAATCTGTATTGCTCATAGAGAGTCATCATGTGTATATATATATATATATATATCATATATCATATATGGCCCTGTGATAGACTGGCGACCTGTCCAGGGTGTCCCCTGCCTCCGCCCTAAGTCGGCTGGGATAGGCTCCAGGCCCCCCGCGACCCTAATGAGGATTAAGCGGTGTATAGATAATGGATGGATGGATATATCATATATGTGTACATGTGAAGTGGTTAAAGGGAGGCTTACAGCTGATTTAAATCCCAAACTATGAACATAACCTTGTATGGATCAGGTTTGTGGTGCAGCATCAGTTACCATGGTGATCTGGCAGGTTAAAGAGAACCAACATTGTGACACTGAAAACTTCAGGTTGGCGGTTTGATCCCCCACCCCTCCACAGTCGAAGTGTTTTTGGGTAAGACACTGAACCTGAAGTTGCAATGGCAGACAACACCTTGCATTGCACCTCTGTCGCCATTGGTGTATCAATGTGTGTGTGAATGGGTGAATGAGAAAACATTGTAAAGCGCTTTGAGTGCCACTGAGGTAGAAAAGCACTATATAATTGCAGTCTATTTACCCTTTACCACTTACGCTCAACATACCTCACTAACCTACTAATCTTGCCCCTTACTGCAGCCCTCTTGGAAAATGCATTGTGCACTGATGACACTGAGGATGAATTGTTTGTGTTGGACATAAAACAGGCTCTGTGCTGTATACCAGCATGGAAACATTATCCCATTAGTGAAGTGTGGCGTAGGCAGCATCATGATTTGTAGCTTTACTGCCATTTGGCCTGGACAGTATGCCACCATCGATGGGGAAATGAATTCCCAAGTTTTACATTTTACTAAGTTTTTATGTGTTTTGCTGGATGATGTGAGAATGGCTGTAGAGCTGAAACTCGGCAGATGCTGGATGCATCAGCAGAATGACAACTCTAAACACTGAAGTAAATCTACTATAGAATGACTTCAAACAAGGAAAATCTACCCTTTGGAGTGTACCAGTCAGAGCCCAGACCTTAACCCAGTAGAGATGCTGTGGACAGCTGTTCACACCAAACATCCTAAAAAATATAGCAGAGCTAAAAGCTGTTCTTTGTGGAAGACTGATCCCACCCTCTTGACTGATGTGTATGTCTGATCTGCTGCTCCCAGAAAGACTTGTTGGAGGTTATAGCTTCCACAAGAGGTGCGACCACTTAAAAAAAAAAGTAAACATGCAATTATAATTTTGTGTTATTAGCCTGAGCACCCTGTCTTTACATGTAACTTATATGGACATCTTATCACATTATACCATCAAATAATGCAGAAAACCAGGTAATTCCAGTTATCCTAGCTTAGCATAAATACTGTAAGCAGGGGGAAACAGCTTGGCTATGTTGAAGGACAAATGAAAATCCACCTACCAGCATTTAATTTGTGTGTGTTCATTCAATATAAACAAGTGTAACAATGATGGTGTGTCATTTTATGGGGGGTTATGTGTCTGGGATCAGTTACCAGACAACCAGCAGAGACTTCAGGAAATTCCTTTTCCGAACAAGATATAACTTGTTAATTAGTGAGTTTTAGGGATGCTGGTGGGAAGATTCTGTTGCATGGACAGAACCATAAGCTAAGCTAAGCTAAGCTAAGCTATGCTAACTGACTGCTGGCTGTAGTGTTACATTTATTAAACAGAAATGAGAGCAATATCAATATTTCCATGAGAAAGTGTATTATCCCAACTGCAGAAGCTTGAGTCAATGGGAAGCTGTGATCAAGGCCATTTATTCTTAGCTTTGAGCTATTAAGCTGTAAAATTGTTTCTCTCCAGATTGTTTCATAGATTTAAATGAAGGCTTGCTTTAGGCAAAATGTGACAAGAAACATCCATGTATTGCATTTACAATGGGCAAATAATCTGCCAATACATGGCTAGGCCCAAAATCATCTAATTCCCCAACACTTCCCATCTTTAAGGTTATCTTCCTCTTTTACTTCATTTCTATGTATCTCTTCAGATCTGTTCGACAACTACATGCAACAGGATGCCCACGAATTCCTCAACTACCTGCTGAACACAGTGGCCGATATCCTGCAAGAGGAGAAGAAGCAGGAAAAGCAGAATGGTCGCCTCAAGAACAACGGCACCGCCGTCACCACGGAGGCTGAGACGGAGAACAAGACAGAGCCCACATGGGTTCATGATATCTTCCAAGGCACACTGACCAACGAGACGCGCTGCCTCAACTGTGAAACGGTGTGTTGCATTTGGAGTTGTCTAGACAGGTAGTTTGTGTTGTCTGTCCCTGTGCGACCTTGAAAAAGTGATCCCTCCTGAATGACTGTGAAAGGGGGATTAGCTTTTTGCAAAGATGCTGAGGGGTGAAAAAAAACCAAAACAAAAAACAGTCAGATGCAGTGAGAACGCCTGGCGGGTTCTGCCCACCCACTTTACGTCAGGACCGCCAGAGGCTTTGTCCTCACAGTTTTGAGGGCGAGGAGTAGGACAGGTTGCCCCGAACAACCCCTGCAAACACCAAGGTGCCGCACCGTGCAGAGACAAAAGCTACTCAGTCAAATATGCATTTCAAAGACTGGCTGAGTGTGTAGAGGTGTGGGCAGGGTGGTTGTTCTGTCACAGCACAGCGGGCTTATCCTCACTGACTCAGTCAAAGAAAATGACAGCTGAGTTACATCGCTGTCTCTCCCTCTGACAGGTGAGCAGCAAAGATGAGGATTTTCTGGATCTTTCTGTGGACGTGGAGCAGAACACATCAATAACACACTGTCTCAGGTAGTATCGATTTATCATACATTCAGTCACAGCCGAAGAAGCTGACATATTCCCATTTGGTCTGAGAATAATTAAGCCTCCTGTGGTATGCTCTGTTTTCCAGGGACTTCAGTAACACAGAGACTTTGTGTAGTGAATACAAATACTACTGTGAGACATGCTGCAGCAAGCAGGAAGCACAGAAACGGTCAGTAAAGTGGCAAGTTTAAATACAACTGTGATGTGGCATTGTGCTAGAGCGTGTTTCTCAAAGCATCTATGCTTCTCTGCAGGATGCGTGTGAAGAAACTTCCTATGATCCTGGCGCTGCACCTCAAGAGGTTTAAGTACATGGAGCAGCTGCACCGCTACACCAAGCTGTCCTACCGAGTGGTTTTCCCCCTAGAACTCCGTCTGTTCAACACATCTGGGGATGCAGTCAATCTGGATCGCATGTATGATCTCGTGGCTGTGGTGGTTCACTGTGGGAGGTACAGTATACTCGATACCAAGCACTGGCAGATTAACCGAGCACCTTGACTCAGACTCAGTTATAATGCTGTGTTCACACCAGACGCGAGTAAAATCATTTACGCGGATGATTTACATGTAAAGTCAATGTGAAGACGCGGTTCGACGTGAGTAAACGTCCTGGCGTGGATGACACGAATTGAGCGAGTTATTCGGTAGAATGACGCGATTCTCGCCGCGTTAAACGTGCAAAATGTGCAAATGACATGAATTCACGTTAGACGCGCAATTTGAAAAATGTGAACTTTAGCAATCTTTCGTACAACGATGGGCAATCAGAGTTGAGATTCTTTGGTGACATCAACAACATGATTCATTCAGTTTTATGCAACTACACCATGAATATTGATTGATTTACTCACCCCAGAAGATAAGTAGGCACATTCCTGGCCAAGGCAGATCTCAGTGCTCAGCAGACTGGCTGTCCCACTCCTCCAGTTCACATACAAGAATGCCACCTCTTCAACTTAGCAAGCTAGCAAGCCGAGTTGCTAGCTTTCGCAATGCTGGCAGGATAAACTCCGCTGACTCCTCGTTGCTGTGGTCAACGTACTCCTACTGGCGGCCACTCGTCCGTGTTATTGTTGTATATGGCGAAGAAAAAAACATGGCTCTATTCCAGCAGCAGAGCAGTAGTTGGTATCCTGCATTCGCGTGAATGAAGCGAGTGAACTCAGTGCACACATGCGTCCAAATACGTGCGAATCGCACAAATTCATAATTCTCTTCTTTTCAACAAAGAGAGAGTACTCCGTCACTCCTCTCAATTACCTGTTAAATCAGTTTTAGTGCAAATGATGTTGTAATGACACTAAGTACACATGTGGCAGATTGTGTTCTGCATCTAGTATAAATGACAGGAAGCTTAGACAGAGGCAGTACAATGTGGAGGTTCTAAGACTGCAGCATCTGTACAATTGAGTTGTTGTTTGTCAATTGTTTCCTCAGTGGACCGAATAGAGGCCATTACATCACCATAGTGAAGAGTCATGGTTTCTGGCTGCTGTTTGATGATGACATCGTAGAGGTGCGTCACTCTTTGTCTGCTCCATGTTCCTTGACTCATCTGTTTGTTTATACACCATTGTTTGTGTTACCAGTAAACCCTGTGTCACCTTCTGTCGTGCAGAAAATTGATGCCCAGGCCATTGAGGAGTTTTACGGCCTTACCTCAGACATCTCCAAGAACTCTGAGTCGGGATACATCCTCTTCTACCAGTCGAGGGAGTGACGCTGGAGCTGGATCGGTGACACAGGAGGAGACTGAATAGGAAGAATTCTCTCTTTTTTTTTTTTTTTTTTAAACCTTCAGTCTAACAGACTCCTGCTTCTCTCCCCCCCTTCCTCCAAGTCAGACCTCTCTGACGTATGTGCCAATCCTCTGTCCCAGTTTCACCCTCTGGGCTTTTACCTGTGCTTCATCTCTCTCTCTCTCTTTCTGTCTCTCTCTCTGTAATTTGATTCTTGTCTTTTAGTCACCTGCATCTGGACTGCACTTTAAAACAAAAGCAAAAATGCTCAGCGGCTTGACGGAAACAAAAAAGCGTCTCATCAAGAACAAGCTTGGTGTTTGCTCCTAGGAGAAGCCTGCAGAGGTGAAGGGTCTGGTGCACATACAGACAGCTGTCATTAATTGTACTATATCATTTATATGTATATAAGGTCTACTTCCATGATGTGCCACCCAATCATAATTCCTTTCATTAGGGCTATTTTCCCCATCACTGTCCAGTCCTTTGGTGTGTTTATGTCCCTGGTGGATGCATGAGAAGTGAATGAGGCAAACACTGTATAGTACGCATAGAGAGATTTCCTACATTTTTAATGGTTCTGAAGCAATATACGCTGAACAAAAATATAAATGCAGCATGTAAATGATCTTTGTGAAAAAGTTAAAAATTAAGTTTCTATTGTTACAGTTAGATTATCAAAATGAGTTAGAAAAAGGTTGCATTTAGCTTCTTTCGACCAAATTCTCAAGTATTGAGTTAATCCACACATTAGTCAGTTGTGGCTTTCAAAGACACTCCTCTGATGAAAGTCCTCTATAAAAGTCCACCTTAAAATGCAGCTTTATTAAAAAGACTCACTGCCACAGATGAAAAGAGAAAGATGAAAACATGCTGTTAGTATATTATACTAGTTGTCAGGCACTTGAATGTCCAACTCCACCATTTGCCATCTAAGAGATCGTTTCAGACAGCATGGTACAACAGTCTCACCTCAGACCTTGTGTCACTACCTACACCGAAGACTGTCACATCCGGCTTGTCCATCTGCAAAATTGTCATCAATCAGAAACTGCCGATAAAGTTGCCTAAGGGAAGCTGGTTTGCGATCCTGTAGGCCACACCACACCTTGATCTACCGGCAGAATGGCATCAAAGTGGGCCACCACTCATGTTAGTTGGACATTATCAAGATGAGAGAAGGTTGTTTTCACTAAAGAATCGACTGTACAGAGCAGACAGCAGATATCGAGTTTGGCCTCGCACAGGGTGAAGTTTTTTCAATGCCTAATACCAATGGTAGTCCCATTCATTCAGCGATTACACTTTGCCCTTCTAGCAGCTGAAAATGTTCCAGTCCTGTCATGGCCTGCAGAGTCTCTGGATGACGTGTCTGACAACCAGACTCAGTCTCACAAAATGTCCATCAACTTCACCGAGCCCTTTGGTTAGCGTGAAACAACACTAGCAACTCAACATCCTCATAAACTCTGGCTTGTTTTTATTTTTAAATTATGGTCTATAATCCCACTCTCCATCTGCCCGCTGTCATTTCCAGTATAGTACATGCTTTATTGTTTCATGACGTCCATCCTGTTGAAGAGATGCCATGTGTTGGAACGACGAATGCTCGTTTCCCTATATTAAAAAGAAGGGATAGAATTTGATTAAATATTACATGCTGCCTTTATATTTTTGTTCAACATAATGAGAGAGAGCTCAAAACTACCTAAACTTCAAACTGTAAACCGTAGAAGTTGTTTTTTCTGTCTTTCTGCTCTGACAGATGTCTGGCCAGATGTGAACCAGTGCTTAAATCCAACTGAGCCACATACTCGTAACACTACACATGGAAAAGCAAACCCCACAGCTGAATCTTTATAATATTTTTATTAAAGAATTAAAATATTTTTATTAAAGATTAAATCCCCTCTGTATTTATTGAACGTAACATATTTATTACTGTTGTTTGTAATGCTGACTGGTGGATAATGAAGGTGTGTGTAAAATGCTCTTTGGAGAGTTTATACTAGCTGTCTAAGCTCACACTGTGTATGTAATACACAACTTGATAGGGATTCTCTGAAAAAAATAGGCGTTGTCAGTTTAGTTTTTGTTGTTTACATGTTAAAAAGAAGGATACACGATTTATGTGATGAAGGAGAGACACAACCCACAACTGCCTAATCTTTTGATTGACCTGAAAATAGTGCAATAAGAGGTGAAATGTGGAGTTTCCCCGTGAGATTAGAATACATTTAATTGTTAGTAGTAGATGTGTTTTTTAAAGGCTGATCTGTTCCCAGTGCTGTGTGTTTGTGATATCAAAGTAAAAGCTCCCCCCGTCGCAACAGGCAATGCACTCTACCTGCTGGGATGTTAGCAACTACATTCTTTCATCCGTCGGTTTCTGTAACTCTCCACGGCATTGTCCTTTTCTTTCAATTCCTGTGTTGAACTGCAGCTTAGCAGATTTTCCTCTTGCTTTGTCTCTGATAAATTGTGTGTCATATGTAGCACATCCTCAAATCGCATAGTTAAAACTCAGTGTTGATTAATACACTGCCCCCTTGTACTGTAGGTGTTTTCCCCCAGGGGGCTTTTGGGATGTAGATTAGGACAACATCAAACAACTTGTTTTCATGTGAACGACATTCCTATTTGCTGCACATCAGAGGGAATTACCATTTCAAACACATCTCATTATAAATAAGAAGTAGGAATAGGATTAATTTGTTAGTTTAGTGTCTGTTTCTGTACAGGAGATGCAGAATGCAAAGTGAACACAGTGAAACTCGGGCACTTGTTTCTGCCATCTCTTCCATGTTAGTCTGTTACTGGATGAAGTCACGAGGAATACGTGCCAAACTGGAGTCTATACTGACCTTGCAACAGTCTTTAACAGAACATTATTTTCTTTGTAAAGATACAACTGTACATATATATTATGTAGAAAAAAAACAAACACTTCTGGTAATAGGAAGATATTTTTTTAAAGTGAAGATCTTAAAATGTAAAGACACTCATGGCAAAGATTTTAGCTTAATGCCGACCATTAATGAAGAAATACTGTGCTGTTTTACAATCACAACTACATGATCAGTCCGAACTGTGCAGAAGCCACCAACTGTCACATCACTGCTATGACTGGGGGGTTGAACTGAGCCAGAAAACGGTGGCAGAACTTTTAGACCCGACTGAGAAGAAAGAGACTCTATAACGCGCTGAGCTTCCATTAACACTTATGCACTCGCCCTCACTGAGACGCTCGGTCGTTGCACTCGGTCTTATGTATCTAACTGTGATAGTGTTCTGCTGAGGAGTCCTACAGCGGGCAACTGAGCTGTGAGGGAAGCAGGAGACGAGTCTCCGATTGGCGGTTAACTGAAAGTGCACTTTATTAGTGATGAGCTTCGATGCTTTAACATAACGAACCACAGTCTAACACACTCACTTTGAGTTTTTCTTCTGTTCAATAAAATGACTATCAACTAACTTGGACAAGTGTTTGGGTTTATTCTGTTGATGCTCCCTCTTAGTAAAAGGATGAAGGATTCTACTTTCATTTTTAGCCTCCCATCACCACTGGTGTATGGAGTGCAATGTCAGCTGGTCCAGCACTTTGGTCCAGATTGAAGTATCACAACAAATATTGGATGTAAAGATACACTGAAGGTGATTCATGCTGACTTTGGTGCTCCCTTGACCACCATGAGTTTGGCTTTTTGAGTGAAAGTGCTCAACAACTAATAGATTAATAGCAGTTAAGGTGATATACTGCTCAGGATGATTTTTAGAACTTCAGTGTTATGATAGTTTTTCATGAATCACGTGAACATTTGAATTTAAAAACAAAATTTTGGTCAATTCTCATCTCCCACAACCACACTAACACAATAAATTAAGGTGGTAAACATGATAACTGACATCATATTTACAGTCTTAGGAGAAATCCTTGGTTTCTTTTTTACCTATTTGGACAAGCAAACTCTTGATCCTCTTTAAAGTGATGCCTATAAATAAAGGTGATGTACTCAAAGAGTTATTACAGAAAAATCTTCATTTTCATAATTTAAATATACTAGAATTACAAACTCATTAAGTAGCACTTTGCATCCATGTCTGTCCAAACTTAACCTTTAACCTTTTGGATTTGTAATCTAATGTATCAGTTAATCCTCTTAGACATTTGTGTGAAATTTTGCCCTAATTAGGAATTTGGGCTTTGAGTTACATAGTTTTGTGAAGTCATGACCTCAGCAGGCACTGGTATGGAAGCTAAATAAACAGTCCCATTGAGTACAACACTTTTATATTTATGTCACCTTAAAAAAACAAGTTAGGGGGGTTCCAGCTTAAGTTTGTTGTGTCATCGTGCTAAGATCTAAAGAGCTCTGTAAGGCCTTCAGAAAAAAAGGTTGTGGATGCATTTGAGTCTGGCAAAGGATTGAACAAGAGCTATAAATGATTTGACATTAAACAAATGGTTAAGATTCCAAACGCCTGCCAGTGTGATAAGAACTGACTGCTCCAGCAAATTTTAATGCAAAAAACAAGTCGCAGGATAACTTTGCCAAAAAAAAAAAAAGAATTCCACTAAAATGTTGTGGGGAGATCTGAAACAGGCAGTGCATGCAAGAAATCCCCAAACAGGCTACAAATAACTTAGCTATTGATATTTTTGTTGAATAAATGGTCAAATAAAACATTTTTTCTGTAGGCTCGGTTTCAAACAAGATCAAGTGTTTGTTCATCCAAATATGTCCAAAAACAGCCAACAGTTTCCATGGGATGGGCTTAATTTCTAGCGTGACTGTGGTGTGCTTACAACACATAATTATGGTTTTACACATACAAGGAACGACATCTTTGGAATGCCTCTTTTTCCAATTTTTTCCCCCCATTTTATTGATTTATTTTTGTCTTCTGTGGTGTTCAGAAAGCAATCTCACCATTATCGACCACTTATTTTATTTCCACAGAAATGAGAAGCCTCTTCATTTCCGCTACATCATGGAAGACGAGCGTCCACCAGCAGCCCACTCAAAAAATCTGTCTTTTTCATTTTAGGATGCATGAACTTTCTGAGTGTTTTTAGTCAATTTCCTAAAAAGAATACACTGACAGCTTGCTCACATTTAATTTGTATTAGGAAAATGGGACATATCTAATCTTGTTATGACACGTCCATCCAGCACAAAAGTATCCTGATAACAATTTGTATTAAAAACAAGATGTTCCTGGATATGATTACAGAACATCGATGTTATAGCACAGCTTTGTCAGACAAAAAATGAGACTGAGTAGATCATCTGTCACCTCTACAGCATCCAACTCCATCCAGAACAATTCTTCACCTTAAAGAAACCTCCTGTTTGTTTTGGTTTTCACTGTAAATTAGACAACATGTCCATCTTTGCAGCTATCAGCTTAGTGTCCTCTCAGTCACCCTGAAATCTCAGCTAATCCCTCAGGAGGAAAAATACAGTGACTGCCAGGAGTCTGGCACAGTCTTTCCTCTGTGTTTCCACCTGTTATATCCTTTTTCTCTGAGCCTGTTCTCGCTCTTTTCAGGCTGCATCCAAAAATCTGTGGTTTTGACACTGTCATTCATATACTGCCGTTTCAAAGGAGAAACGCTTAGCCATGGTGTTGACTGATTATTCCACTCATATGTCGTCTAGCATGTAAAACAAACAAAAAAAATCACAAAATGGATGGATGTGGATGTGTTAACAAGGTTTAAATGCAATGTGATTTCAACAGGAGTCTGTAAATATCCCCCAAAATGCATACAATCTTCAAACACAATTCTTAGTCTGGTATCTTAGAAACAACTAAAATGAGAAACTTTGGGTTCAAGCAAGATTTAGAAAAACTCATTCCTGCATTTATTACCTGTGGTCAACTAATGTGCTCCTTAATAGCCTCCCAAATTAGATTAATCTGCAACTCATTCAAAAAATTACTGACAAACACTAAGAAAAGCGAACACATTACTCTGATTTTAAGGTACCTGCATTGGCTCACTTTAAAATAGAGAAATGAATTTAATGTCCTAATTTTTCTCTATAAGACTCTGAATGGCACTAAAATACATTTGTGATGTGATTTGCTGATTGCAGTCAAACGAGGTTAAATGTTAGTAATTGTGATTCCCACTGCTGGAACCAGCTCTGTCTCTGTCCTAAAGGCAGTTTCTGTTGAGGTTTCTATTAGAAGCTCGTTCTCATATCTTATATCAGGGGTGCCCAATCCTGGTCCTTGAGAGCCCCTATCCAGCATGTTTTAGAATCCCTCTTCCAACACACCTGATTCAAATGATCAGCTCATCATCAAGCTCTGCAGAAGCCTGATAACAAACTGATCATTTGAATCAGGTGTGTTGGAAGATGGAAACATCTAAAACATGCTGGATAGGGGCTCTTGAGGACCAGGATTGGGCACCCCTGTCTTATATCATAGTTTCACACAGTCATTGAAATTGATTAAAAAACAAGATAAACAAAATGCTAGAAAAATGTACTTTTGAAAATATACACCTATAAAATCAATGTTTGGTTAAAAGTACAATGCTGTTTACTTCGATGTTTATTTAATGGAGAACCTCACAGGTCACGTGACCACAGGGTAGTTTGGGACACCTGTGGGATTATGGGTCAGATGCAATGTGGCTGCAGAGGAACAACAATATGACCCAAAATAACTATTTTGCTCGGTCCGAGAGCCACACACGGTAAAGTGTAACTTTCAACTTATATTTGTTTCATGTTTGTTTGAAATATGTGTCGAGGCGCTTTTGTATGGACGGTCTAGTGGGCTGTTAGCATGTTAGCATAGCTGCCTGGACCCGTCTATTGACTGAAACTAGCTTGAGAGACTCGTTGTTTGAGTCCGTC